AATTACCGTTTTTCAACAATTGCGAGTACCCTCGTAGATTAAAATATTCTTATATTTGCCGAAATCCGAATGGGCATTTTTAGAGTCGATTTCGTAGGAGTTTCTAGGATGTATGAACAGTATAATTTACTTAAAAAAAAAAACAATAAAACAACAACCCAGTTTTATTATAATAATCAATAAATATACAGTGTGATCCATTTAGATTGGAAACACCCCTGTAAAATTTGAAGGTATTAACCAATTTGAACCAATTATTTTTTAAATTATCAGGTGACAAAAGATCTACTTTGGGACAAAATTTCAAATGTTTATTTTAATTTTTAGATTATAATACGATACTTTTTCGTACTCGAAAATGGAGAATTTTTATTAGCGATTTTTTATTAAAAAAATTACTACGCCACAGGATTAAGAGTGACTTCTAATAAATGTGACCAACATTTCATAAAACATAATTATTAATAATGAAGTTATATATAACCACTTAAAATTTGAATACTTAAGGTAACGGTCACAAAAGAACACTCAATATCAACAGATATCCATGAAAATTATTATTTTTTCCAGTAAATGAACTTGACAATAAATCACCACTGGATAAAAAAAATTAAAAAAGCATAAACACTTAACGAAAATAATTAAAATTACATTTAACTTTACACGAAATTAACCTAATACAATAAAACCTAATATTATTTCAATTTAAATCTTAGTTGCCGTGAAGATGATGCTACTATTTGACACTTGTGTATTAGAGGCAACTAGGATCTAATTATTTGTTACAGTTAAGTTTGTTAAATTATACAATTTTGTTATTAGTTTCAATAAACGTTTATGCTATTTTAAACATTTTTTTCATGCAGCGGTGGTTTATTGTTAGATTTATTAGAATAAATAATTTCCATGGCTATCTGTTGATACTGAGTGTTCTTTTGTGACCGTTACCTTACGTAAGTTTTCGAATTTTAAGTGGTCATAACTTCGTTATTAATAATTATATTTTTATGAAATTTTATTCACAGCTATTAGAAGGCACTCTAAATCCAGTGGGGTAGTAATTGTTTTAATAAAAAAATCGATAATAAAAATTTTCCATGATTGACTACGAAAAAGTATCGTATTATGCTCTAAAAATTGAAATAAACATTTTAAATTTTGTGCCAACGTAAATATTTTGTTACCTGACAATTTAAAAAAAATGGTTCTAATTGGTTAATAACTTCAAATTTTACAGGGGTGTTTCCAATCTAAATGGGTCACACTGTATAGGTGCTCTATTCAAATACATAACATTCAGACTAAGCACATACAGGACCGACAAGAGGGGGGAGGGTAGTCGGGACGAATTCCCAGGGCCCGGGCTCAAGTGGAGGCCCGGCAGCGGCATTAGGGGGCATTTAGGTGAGGACGTTTTTAATTTTTTAGATTATCGCCACAAGAGTACAAGAGGACCTTTGTTTGTTTTTTAGAAATTTCACTAAAAATGAGAAGTTTTTTGCTTGAGGACCTTTTTTTAGAAGGATGACTGGAACTACGTTGCACAAGTTGTTTCTCAAAGCGCCGTGTAATGGGTGAAGAATTTATTCTCCCCTTTCAAGTCACCCGGAGAAGATAGTATATTTCCTTCTCTCCTGTAAAAACGACATAAACCCTTGCTATCCCTCCTTGTGAGCTGTTTAGAGTAAGTCTGGCGTGGAGCTATATCCCCTAAGGTGAACGAAGGCGAAAGTTGTGCATATACAAGGCTGGTAGAGTAGATACCTCCCTACCAAACCCCTAACATCGTTTCTTTTGAAAACACTAGAGAGAATTCTAGATAGGCTGGTAGAGTAGATACCTCCATACCCAACTCCTAACGTCCTTTCTTTTAAAATCACTAGAGATAATTCTAGATAGGCATATTAGAGGAGTCCTTCGGGCAAGCCCTTTAAGCTCCTCCCAATATGCCTAACAAGCAGGCTAATCGACAGATTATACCTTGCACAATATACTAGGAAAAAACGGCCACTCTCTAAAACGCGGGGAGATTGCGCTAGATGCCTTCCTAGGCATAGAAGGAACGTTCCATAACGCCCTTCCTCAATCTCTGTTTGCTTCTATTGAAAGAAGAGGAATCGACAAACTGACCTGTAATTGGATCAAAAACATGACTGGAGAGAACATCATTTGATCAGTTGTCGAGGAAGAGTCATTTTCAGGCCAGCCAAAGGATGCCCATAAGGCGGCGTACTTTCACCCCTACTGTAGACTATTCTGGTGAATAACCTGCTAGAAGATCTTTCTGGGCTATTCGGATGATCTGGTAGTTATAAATTATAGCCCAAGAGCCCACTGGAAATTTTTACCGTCATCTGATAACGAAATGAAAAATACCCCAAAAGCATGTAAAAATATTGTACTTTACCAAATGGCACCTGTGCCTATCCCCATCCTGAGCAAAGTGGTTAAAAAAAATTATGACAGCGCTAATTTTGTTTGCCCTTATAGTTTTTTAAATATATCTTGATATATATCGTTAAAGAGAAACATTTTCTTCCTCTTAACATCGCACAAAAACATCTATCCACGATTAGTAGTTAAAAATCTTTAAAAATATGAATCAATTTTTGCTGAATTAAAAATTTATTTATATGCCTATTGTTGTGATTCATTTTTACAGGTTGCCATAGAAGCGACAAAAAACTACTATGATTATGGTTTAAAAGAATTGTCTAACAAGACTTTATAATAATTATTATGCAAATGGTTTATATGCCATGCTTCTTCCTTTCACACATGCACAAGGTTAAAAAGGTAGGTAAAAATATTAATAATTCAGGTTTAAAAGCTAGGTTCATAATGAATTAGGATTTTAATTTTCAGGGCAAACAAAATTGTCACTGTCATGTCTCATGTGATTTTTTGAATGTAAAATAATTTTTTTTAGTCACTTTGCTCAGGATAGGGATTGGCACAGGTGCAATTTGGTAAAATACAATGTTGTTACATGTCTTTGGAGCATATTTCATTTCGTTATCAGATGACGGTCGAAATTTGCACTGGGCTCTCTTACTATTAGGGGAAGTACGAAGAGGTGATCTCTAACATCATTTAACAAGCCTTAAATACGATCAACAGATGGTGCGAGAGGAAGCAGATGTATGTTAACCCCCGGAAAACCATTATCGTCCCTTTCATCAAGAGAAGAAAGCTCGACAAGCTTCGACGACCTACCTTGGCCGGGGAAATCATCAAAAAAGCCCGATTATCCCTCGGCCCTGATAAGATATGCTGCAAAGCTTGGGGATCGTTTCTCAACTGATCTACTGGATTTACCAAACCGTGGGAAATCATATGGTTACTTACTGTTCCGGCGTCTGGTGGGACAAGGGATTTCATTGGACGGCTAGAGCAAAGCTGGCTAAAATCCAGCGTCTTGCTTGCCTTGCCATCACTGGGGCAATGTCAGCCACATCGATGGAAGCCATGGAGACCACATTTTTCTCGAACAGGAGGCCAGGATGGTCTCCTACACAGTCCTGAAGGTGATTAGTCAATGCAATGAAGAACTTCGCTGGGACAAGACGGGGCTGATGAGTGAGATTAATACCCACCACATCCTCTGCATGGCCTTAGACTTGCTAGTTCTCCGACAACACAGAACAGGCAAGCAGCGTTCTCATTCCATAGAGTCGTATGGAACGGGGAGGGGGGGGGGATAAAATCCTCTCCCAGGCTGTACGCGGACGACTCCAACCTGGACTCTCTGGCCGAGATCTTCCAAGAAGAAATGATTGCTATAGAATCGGTAGCGAGTTAATTAATTTTCTCCCCGCTAAATAGTCTATAAACCTTTTTTGGGATAGCCAGGCAGCTCTCATTCAATCAACTTGTTATATTGCCTAGCAACGGTCTCACAGATAAATTCGTTATTTTTTTTTAAACTATGATTGGAATTAATACCAATATTATTTAAAACTTATATAAAAGAGGAGATTATGAGTAATATCGTATACATACCTCGGGGAACTCAATCCTAGCCTCGCGTCTGTTATATAGTACTTCCCGGCTTGGTATGTAATATACTATTTTTTTCCTTTTTGTTACAAATCCACGCGCCTAGTTGACGTGTAAAAACTTTCACCCGATCTGAAATGACTTTGTAAAAATTGTTTTGTAGCATCCTACAACCACTATTGGTAGCATCTGCTTTGCCTGCTAAAATCAGTTGGCATGAAATAATTAGCTCAAAATGGTAGCAAGCTCCAGACTGATAGGCATGGCGCGTTCCTTCTGTTTGCTTGTCTAAGGTTACACTTTTTTTGTGCTGACGGCCCTATATACAGTGAGTCTACTTAAGTTGGAACCATATGGAAAACATTTTTAATATTGATTTTAGGAAAAAAAGTTATTCTTGATAAAAAGTCCTACATGACCCAAAACCTAAAATACAGTCATCACATATCAAATTTTTCAAACCGTATACGAGGTTTGTCAAAAAATATGAATTTTGCTCAAGAGTAAAGTACGTTTATTTATGACAAAATCGAAAATTTTCATTAAGAAAAGTTGATTAGAATTGAATATTACATTCAAATATGCAATTACACCGATCTATCTGAAAAACAGATTTTCTTATTTTTTATAAACTCTACACTCTACACATTGATTGTAAATATCTGAAAACGTTATAAATTACGTTAGCTACTATAAACATGATACGCTTTCCTTTTGTTGATGTTTGTGAAGAATTTAGCAAATTTCTTAATGAAAATTTTCGATTTTGTAAAAAAATAAACGTACTTTACTCTTGAGCAAAATTCATATTTTTTGACAAACCTCGTATAAGGCTTGAAAAATTTGATATCTGATGACTGTATTTTAAGTTTTGGGTCATGCAGGACTTTTTATCAAGAATAACTTTTTTTCCTAAAATCAATAATAAAAATGTTTTCCATATGGTTCCAACTTAAGTAGACACACTGTATGAGGAATAAATTGAAAGAACGGTTTTTTAAATAATTTACGTTTATTTAAAACTAACTTTTTGTTTCTTACAAACTACATAAAATATTATATTATCTTTAAAAAGTGTAAAATACATTGTTGACTACTAAGTAGATTTTTTCTTAACAGGTTTAACAATATCTATAATATTTTTGGCCTGTTTCATGGTAGGCATATCGATCATACTTCCTCTGTAATTAAAGGCTCCCTAAAACAATGTACAATAAATATATTAGATAAATGTTTGCATTTCACATTTTGTTATCGTCGAGTTCAAATTTATTATGAGGCAATGTCCACCTTAAAGGAGAAATAAATTTTAATACAATTATTTAAACAACTGGACCCAAATATTTTAATTTGTCAATTTACATCAGAAAAGAGATGAAAATCAATGATAAAAATTGTCAGAATTTGATCAGAATATGTACAAACAAGATTTATTGAACACAGTTTTCAGTAATAAACCACCAAAAATTTATAAAGTAGATCAACTTGCATAACAATATGGCCACACAGTTATTCGGTTACCTCCTTATCATTGTATTTAACCCAACTGAAATGATATGCGGTATTGCCAAGAATTATTATAACCGGTATATTGGTAGGGATGGCAACTCAATTCAAAATTGTTTAAGTATGTGGAGGGCAGCATTACAGACTGTAAGACCCCAAATCTGGTCTAAGTAAGTCATATAGATCCATATTGTAAAGATCGTACCAATATGTATAGTTAAAGTATGTGGTATTTAAACGTGGAGTAGTATGCAATGTAAAACTTAACAGACAAATCCAAGAAGGATTGAGTGTGACTCTAGGCCGTGAACTAGAAGTGATTCAGTGCATGGAAAGTGGAGAGTCGAATATGGTGGTAACGTAGAGTGGTGGTATAAGAACGCTAAGAAATTAACAGGTATGAGCAAGGGTCGAGAAGTGTAGCTCGACAAACCAAAGATCAATTAATCACCACCAAGGGAAAGTTGTCAAGAAGGAAGCGATATATTCAGCCTAGTTTCATGAGGTTTTGAGGTAGGACTACCGTTCAATGGATCACATCCGGGTATTGGAAATGACTAAGTCATAACGGCTCACCAGATTGCGGTCAACAGCCATTTTAAAGGCGATGGGGCAAAGATACGACCCGTTACTTGGGAAATTTGGTGGAAAATCCCAAAAATCGGTCCAACTACTTTGAACTCCCAAAAGGTTGGGGACAGAGAAGGGCACCCTTCTTGCAGAGATCCAAGACAATCATTGACACGAAAAGCAAAACGGCACCAATACCCTTAGAAAAAGCAGTCACCAAGCAGTAGAACAAATTGTGCGTAATACCGGATAACCCACAAAACATGGAGAATCAATCGAGGTTCCATCAAAAATATCACTTGTCATTCTTAGCCAATCAAATTAGAATAAAAGTAAAATAAGAGTTATTTGTACGAGTAAACATTTGATATATGGAAAAATTATCGTTCCTATATTTATACCGGGAATTCAAATTAAAGTGTTACAGTTAAATACAGCCGAAAATATGCATTTTAGAAAAAAAAGTTTCAGACAAAAGTTTTATAGTTTTTTAGGGGAAACATTTTGGCCAAATTCATTTTTTTATAGCTGACCATAATATGGGAATCCCATTTTTTTTACATATTCTTAAAGTACATAAAAAAATAAGAAACTTTTGATGGAAATATTTTTTTTTATTGGACTTTTACTTTTTGAGTAACAGCTAATTCAAAATTTTGCTAGGCGAAAAAAAAGTTGGCCATATTATGGTTAGCTATAAAAAACGATTTTAGCCAAAATTTCTTCCCCTCAAAACTATAAAAGTTTCGTCTGAAACGTTTTTTCTATAAAAGGCGGCATATAGCTGTAACACTTTAATTTGAACACCCGGTATATTCCCTTTAAAAATCTTATAATTCTTGTGAAATTATAATTTATGTACTACGTACTACTCGATTACTATTCTCATTTGGATTATACCAAGGATTATAATTTAATTTCCAGTAATTTTAAACTCAAGCACGTCTTTTTTAAACCACATTGGTCATGTATTTTTTATTTTTTTATTATTAAATATAGTAGTAGCACAATGCGCGTGTTTAGCGCAAACGAATTTAACGAATCTAAAGCTATTAACTGTTGAAGCACAAACAGCTTTTTTTTTTCATGCAATAAATACTTTAAATAGATAATAAAAGTTATAGTACTTTAAAAAGGTGACTTTTAAATCAATTATTTAAAACACTCTATTTCTGCGCCATTTACCGCCTCATAATGAAGCGCCTGTTTCTATTGGTTACTAAAGAATCTGTGATACCATAACACATACAGTTGATCGTTATCTTTTTATAATAGTGACATTTATGATAGTTATCTCCTTCTAAAATCGGATTTAAATTTTCTTTTCTCATGATACAAAAATTTCAAAATCTCAAATCGATTGTGGGAAACATTGAAATTGTTTTTAAAAAGGGTAATAAAATAAATATTTGTTTATTTTTGCGTTACATTAAAAATATCTGGTTATATTTTTAAGCACTTGGTCCCAATTAGAAGTAAGAAGTTCCTTAAAATCTAGACATTCAAAAACGATAGTGGGTTAAGGGACACAAACTAGCATTGTGCTTTTATATTTATTTTGATGTAAGTAAATATATTTTTGTATTGTTTTTATTTCCAATTTGATATAAATTTATAAAATGGACCTAGTTGATCATCTAGTAGGTCAATATACATACATTTTTACTTAACACCGAGTCTGAGGGTAACTAATTAGTTTGCATTATTTTTTATGTGGAAGAAGATGCAGAAAACTGGATTCATTTAAAAATTTTGGATAAAAATTTGACAATAAAACAAGATGTGCCTTATAAATATACCGCCTAAAATTCCTATTAAAGGCTCTTTGAGTGACCCTGCCAAAAAAAGATTGAAAATTTGAATTGTATTGTCATTCGATATGTAAATTAATTGCTTAAACGATTATAATAAAGCCTGTTATTTATTGAATTATTTTTAAACAGGAATGTATAAATAAATTACCTACAATAGGTACAAAAATTTAATTTATTAAACTTATGTATTATATATCTAGTCCAGATATTATTAATTTAACAAAAATAAAATAAATTTCCTTCAAAAGAGGCAAATCAATTAAGTGTTTTTTTTTTTAATTCTGATAGTTTTGCGAAATCTATACAAACTCCACCAAAGTAAATACCTGGACTATACCAAAGAAGTAGAGAGGGTAGAACAATAAGGGACCGTCTACGCATCCATCACGAGTGTAGAAATTATGCATGACTCAACCTTCCTCTCTTACACACGTAAATGACAAGGAGAGGTTGCTCTAAAGCACTGTAAACAAATTCCAGGGTTGGCTTTGTTTGTGTTGTGGCAGTTGTAAGCTTTTTTGGAGTCAATTCTTTGTTATCTTGCTTATATTTGTGATTTTTTGTGCTTTAATTTCGATTTAGTATTAAATTATACTTGTTAATTATTTTCCGATGCACTATTTTATAATTGTTGCATAAAAAGTTATGAAATCGTCCCTGAATCTTGTTTACAAAATGTGCAAAACGAAATTGTGCATTGTGTCAATACTTTTTCATTGATAGTTATCATTCTACATATCTCCACTTCATTGGACTATACCTATACAGTAAACTGTCAGTGTCTTACAATAAATAAACATTTTTAAAAGACTCGATTAACGGTAATAAAATAAGCAATCGATAAATAAATATAAAGAAAACAACAAAACTTATTTTAAATTGAATTAATTATATATACAGTGCTTATTTTTTCGTGTTAGGCATAGGACTAGTATACAAGTTAATAAAATGGCAACAGCCAGTTGTCACGGTCCAACGACTATATACTACAGGATAGACTAGTTTTATAAGAAACCACATTGCGTTTTTTTCCGTGCGGTTGGTGACGTAGGCGTCAGTACAGAATTTGGTTTGTCACTATAGAAAGTATTGTGTTTGCGTTGTACTTTTGGGTTGTTTAACAGTTTTTAGAGATTATTTATTCGTTTTTGTGGTGAATGAACTTGTAAAAACATCAAATAATTAATATTTTTGTTTTTCAACAGTTTTGGAGTCAAGAAACTTTAAAAACATTGTGTTTTAAAATTTATTTTTGTGATTAGTATTGACATTTTTGCTACTAATTTTTATCTGAAATATTTGAATAAGTTTGGTAAGTTTTCTCATTAAAAGATAGAAAAATATGTTCTAAATCATTGCCTGGGCAGATTTGTGCTATTGCAAGTGAATTATATTTTTTAATTCCTATTAACATTTTAACTAATATTTTTCTCTATATTGAAATTTAAAAGTATTTTACTCTTTAACATACATTACTATTTTTATTTTCCCTGTATAGCACCTACATTTTACAAAATGTAATGCTCGATTATGAATTTCCAAGAGATGTAAACTTTTTATCAAGAATGTTTTTTTTATGTAAGATAAAACTTCTACTCATTTGTATACAATTTTTTGGGACACTCTGTTTATAAATTAGAACTTATTCTTATAATAAACTAACAGAATAAATAAATATAATATACATATCTACCTATATAAAAAAGTTAATTTTTTAAACAAAAAAAAAAGTTAACGAGCGTAATTTCAAAAAAGACGATAGTATCTCTGTTGGTTTCAAAAGGCTAGCGTTTGACAGTGGACTGACTGTAACGTAACAGCCTCTCCATTACCGGAAAGAAATCGAGGAACTCGGCTATCCTGTAGATATATAGTGGTTGGTCGCGGTCGACTAGAATTAGAAGACATGATGGTGGGATATTAGCCGAACCGAGAACATAGCGATAGCGGGGATATCGTAGTTGCCACATGTTCGATGTAAAAGCAAGGCTATGCCTAATACAAAATAATAGGTTCTTTCGTTCGTTTTTGGTGCAGTGTACACCAATGTCAAATACACCACCTTATTTACCTAGTTTACTTCCTCCTTATTCCTTATACACATGACGAGTGTAATTCACTCCTTCTGAATAGCTGGTGGAGAAAATATCCACCAGTGAAGGTGTAGTGGGCTTTACACCGGGCCAAACGAAAGGTTTTGTGTCCGTTGATGTAGTTCATTCCTACACCAGCGGGGCGAACGAAAGAACCTAATAAGTACTGTATAACACTGTTCCAAAAAATATTTGCCGGCTTCATAATATTATTTAGGTCTTGTTCATCAAAAATAAACTTCCCTATTTATTTCAAAATTTGGAGATTCCACACAAAAAAGTCCATTATGTTCCTAAAAAGCAAAATTTGCAGTTGAATATGAAAATATAATTTTCTGGTCACTTTGCACTAGATATATATCTATTCATTCTTATTATTTATAAAAAGCACAGAATGTTTTTAGTTCGAAGAAGAATCGACAGTCTCAAATCATTAGAACACAATGTGGATGTGATGGAAGGTTAACTTCGATGGTGTTCAGAATCCACAACAATAGAGCAACACTATGTTTGCATGCACCTTTAAAAAATAGAACCATGTAAAATAATTTAATACAGTATTTTGAGCTTTTTAATATTGATAGGAATTGAAATTACCGTCGAAAGCAGAATATTCTGTGAATTTACAAGATACGACCTTTTCCTTTTATTCATTTATTATTAAATAACGATATAAACGTTTTGTGTTCTAGTGTAATTCTAGCCTTAATGTTACAAATGGTAACCGAACATATTATGATAGTGCACTTCCTTGGTAGAGCTACAATAGAATAATTTTTATTCATAATTAATTGTAATAATTGGCATTATTATTTGAAAATATAAAGAATTTACAAAATATTCTTAAAAAGTATTTTTAATGTTTTAAATTAAAACCGCCCGTATGGAAATAAAACAAACAATCAGGTAATTACTTCAGTCAATGGCTTGCATTGAACTAGGGAATTCAAGGTAGAACGTGGGTATGCTAACAAATACATCACGTAAATTTTGGATTTAAATAGAGAGACTAGAGAGAAAGAAAAACTCGAGTGAGGACTGATGTCCAGAACTCTCGCCGAAGACGAGAACTCTCGTTTTCGGTGCCCTAACCCCCGAAACAAAGTAATGTGTAAAGTATTGTGCAGCGATTTGTGAACTATGGGTAAATATCTTTAACTTATTTTTAAAGTGTTTTGTTTGAGATAAATAATAGACATTTTCATCACAAATTTTGTGCATGCGTCAGTATCGACCATATTTTTCGTACTGTTTTTGTAAACAAGCATGTTAAAATGCCCATGTGTGAAAAATTATAATCGATAAATATTTTAAGCATATTCATTTAAAAAAAGGAAGAAAAAGCAAAGTAATAATAAGTTTAGTCTTAATTGAAAAATACATTTTTACAATCAATTATAATTATAGTATCTGTATGGAAAGGAACAACGAAACGGTGTTGTTATGGAGTATTTAAAAGTGACACACGGTATAAATCATTTAAAGGCAATACATATTATTTTATAAATTTTCCAAAGCCTTGGCTGCAATATCGTAAAAAAATATCAAATTATCAGGCAAAATCCATATTAAAACATGTTCAAAAAGCGCAAAATGTGCATTAGCTGTGAAAAAATTTGGTCGAAGTGACAACGGTTTTCGATGGATTGATGATGTTACTAAAGATACTTACATTTATTCATTACATTTTTATGGAGAAAGTGGCCCAACACAATGTTTTTTTAATATTAAATACAACACAGTAATATGATTAAAAATGTAATGTTGATCCTCAAAATATTAAATAATTTACTTTATTAATTATACTCTTGTTTAACTTATCATGTTAATTAAAGTGTTTTTGCAAGTACTAATAGTTGGTTGGCACAATTAATTAGAATAAAGTTATAATTATTATTTGTTTTCATTAATTTTTTACATAGTTAAGATACACCTTTCAATCAGACCACTTTTTTCCTTTATGGCAAACATCCAACACACTTCAACCACCTTTTCAACTGCTCACAACTATGCGCTTCCACAGAGTTATAAAAAAATTAATCAGCATCGACAATTTTTTCTAACGATTAATTTTTCTGTAAAGATAATATTGCTTTCCCAGCCATTGTCTATCAAAACAGTACGAAACTTTTGAATTACCGCTATTTCAACATGGTGGTTGCTCTTGCGCTCATTACATGATGAAAAGGTCTATTGAGTTACATATAAATGCCAATTTTACATTTTCGTCCCAAGTACTACATTTATCTTATACAGGGTGTTTCCGAACTTGGCGTCCAAATTTGTAGGGGTGGTAGTTAGCATAATTTGAGAGCGATTGGCAGATTTTATTTTTCTAAAAAAATTATAATAAACAAAATAGAGCCATTATAAAAAAAATCAAAAAGCTGGTCCTACCCTGAGCGCGTAGCGCAATAGTCGCTTGATCGGTTACTCATCCGGATTTACAACTTACAAAAACAGATGCGATTTGCAAATTTCTCCCTCCGCCCGGCCGGTATCGAAAGACGTAGCCGTTTGTTTTTCTAGTGCGTATTGCTAGAGGCACCCCATCGCTGTGCAGGACCGTACCTGTTTAATATTTTTAATTATTTTTATTTTAAATATTTTGGAAAAATGAAATCTGCCAATCGCTCTCAAATTATGCGAACTACCACCCCTACAAATTTGGACGCAAGTTCGGAAACACCCTGTATATTATATTATTAAATAGTTAAAGCTTCCAGTGCTAATTTTAGTTGTTAATAAATCCAAGCTATATAATTCAATAGGAAGTTTATCTAATTGTCATAAATCATAGGTTTTTTTATTAAAAGTTTGAATATATTATCAAGTAGTGCTTTATTCCCTAAATATAATTTGATTCATTTATTCTTGAGACTATTAGTCAATTTTGTACTTATTTTAATTATACATTTGTTGATGTTTAATACCTATTATTAATCTCTCTTTTCCTTTGCAAACCAGTAAAATATTCAGAGCATTTGAAAAGCTTCGGCGTTTCTATTCCTTTAGGACTATAAAAGTCTAAAACTATTTGCCAAGAACCGCTCGACTATGCTACTAAGGGGTAATTTTAATTTTTTTATTGTTATTTGCCACTGGTGAATGGATGTTCCTTCTGGACTCAGTAGCTAAAGACCTATCAGTGGCTACAAATGGTCTTTATACTTGTTGGCTGTTACACAATTTCAACGACTCTATTAAATCTCCCTAAAAAAAAAACGAATTACTTTCAAGTCCTGACGACCTTCACCCCACGTCGCCTCCTAGTTTTTTTTATTCTCTCCGAAAGTCATTCCGTTTCCATGTTCCAAACTAACTCTTAAACGAGCTATCCGAATTAACACCGAATTCAGTACTTCCATCGGGACTGCGAAAATCAAAACTTTGTGTCTTGCAGTGCTACATCGCCTCGAGCATACGAAAGCCATGAATCAGATGTGAATATATCATTTTCAGTTTCGCTTTTGGGCGATCGGTGGTCGACGTGACGATTGTTATTTTCTAGTATACAGGGAGTGCCGAAATTTATTCAGAATCGAATTAATAGTAACGGCCGATTTAATTAATTAATATTTTCTTGTTATTATTAAGTAAACAATTTATTCCATAAATAATTTATTTCCCTGTATACAGGGATCTCAGTAAATTTCCTTTTTAGTTATTTTTAGTTTCTTTATTATTTAGCAATTATATGTATAAAGTTTATTTGCTGGAAGCGCCGTCAATTTCTGCTTTAGTCATTTTAAGTTTCTTTATTATTCAACCATTACATTTAAATAGTTTATTTGTTGGAAAAGTTATTTTCTGTATACCGTAAATTTCCCCCTTAGCTATTTTTAGTTTTAAGATTTATAGTTAAATCATTTACTTGGTAGGAAAACTATTAAAAAAAAATTTTTAGATTAGATTTTTTGCTACTCTTTAAAAAAATATTTTTGAATTTCACTAAACACGCCCATTATCTTTCTATAGTAACTTTTTTATGCACAATATTTTAAGTAATTTCAGTTGAAGATTTGTGTTTAGATGTTAGTGATTCGATTGCTTGATCCGTTTTTTACAAAATACCTATAGAGAATGTACTATTTTATTTATGTACAAATCAAATATATTCATTTTTAATAAATATTTAAGACCAGCCTAAACAAGTTTCTGCGTGGAATATTTTAATAAATAAAATCAATATTCATTGGACAATTTACTTTTTTATGAAAAAATTTTACTTGAACAAAACTGAAAACAATTCATAATATATGTCTTTATGAGTAAATACATCACTACGCTTTTTGTCAAATTTCACATTGGCATCATTATTTAAAAATTTGGAGACATACTTTCCAGTGATCAAAAAATTCCATTTTCATAAAATAATTAAATCAATTTTTTTAACATTTCAATTATAGATAATTACTACATAATACATTCTCATTTTATTTTTCACTACGTACTTTTCCAGTAGCTTGATGTTCTTCAAATGCATCTAAAAGTCCCTTTGCCCATTCTACAGTTGCTAGGGCAGGCAAAAATGACTCTTGAACTGTTTCTATTTGATTTGGATGAATAACTTGCTTGCCAGTATATCCCATTCTCATACCTTCCTCACACTGACGTTTTAAACCTTCCAAATCTAAAATACATCAAAATAATATAATAATTGATCCTATGATTGGACCTGTTACACTTTGAAATATACTCTAAATAAAAATTATCTCTTTAGTCTTTTGATTTGTGTAAACAAACATTTTTTTTAAGGAAGATTGGTCCAAAATGTGTACATTTACCTTTTAGACTTTCGACCTTAGACATCATGCAATCTAGTGCATGATAGCTTTTAATGTAAATTATATAATTGTACTCATGATTTAAAGAAATGGGTAAACAAATGGGTAAAGAAATGGGTAAGAATAGGGTACAGAATATAGTAAAGGGAGGTGAAAAATACGAGGGTGGGTCCCTATGCTCGTCCCAGACCTATTTCTAGTAGTGCCTTGATTAATGTTTTTGACAGTTAGTTAACTGACTTTTGTTATCAACTTTGTATTTTAAAGCGCTGAGTGGCTAATTCTTGAACTGTGTGTCCTGATTGTACATAAAAATGGATCCTGTAGAACAAAGAGCCGTAATAAAATATCTCCAGCAAAAAGGCATGACGCCACCCTCAAATGCATGAAGACATTGTGGCAACTATTGGGGAGTCTGCAGTTTCATATGACATAATCAAACGCTGGTGTCGAGATTTTAAATACGGATGAACATCCTGTGAAAACCAGCATGCTGGTGGTCCTCCCATAACGGTAAAAGACAAAAATATAAAAAAGGTACACGATATCGTACTACAAGACCGACGAGTACGCATAAGGGATATTGTGGAAGATACTGGCTTATCATATCATGTGGTGCACCACATACTGACATAGTGAACAAAGCATTAGATATGAAAAGATGAGTACAAGATAGGTGCCCCGAATGGTAACAATTGATCAAAAAAGAAATCAGGTGTTGACTTGTGAGCGACTTTTGGAAAGGTACCAAGCAAACAAAGAGAACTTTCTTAGTCCGTATGCTACCATGGACGAGTCATGGGTGCACCACTATGATCCCGAGACCAAAGTAAATAGTGGATACATTGCGGTTTTCTTCCTCCGCACAAATTCAAAATCGTGCCGTCTGCTGGAAAGTTTTTGGTGTCTGTGTTCTGGGATGCTCAAGGAATCATCCTGACTATTTGCACAAGAAACAGAGCATTACAGGGGCCTATTACGCACAATTGATTTCTAAATTGCGAGACGCTCTTAAAGATAAACGCCGAGGAAAGTTAAGGAATGGTGTGCTGTTCCATCAGGATAATGCTTCCCAGCCATACACCTTGTATTGACATGGCTGCTTTTCGCTCCGTGCGTGACAGCAGCTCCAAAAAAAAATATGAACTAAAGGGAGATTTTGCGTGTATTGACAGTATCATTTTAAATAGAATTCGTAATTAAAAAATGTATTTTTTGGTTTTAATAAAAGTATATTGGATTTATAAAACAAGTGAAAACAATAATTTTTTTTATTATTATTATTAAAACATGTGCACAGAACAGGTAATTAGGCAACAGTATTTACGAGAAAGTGTATGAAAAGTTGCCTAATGAAGTTATTGTCAAACATGGATTCTGTTAGAGTTGATACTTACCCATGTACTTATTGTTAGACTTAGTTTGAGAGTTGTCAGTAATTTTGTCATTAATAAAAATATATTTGTCAAAGAGAAAAGTATTCACGATTATTCCATTCTTTTACTTGCACATTTCTAATATTTGGCGACCGTGACAGCGTTAAAAAATGGAAAATATTTTAAGAAGACTTGCCAAGATGTCGACGTAGCACTAGCCCATTCAAATCAAGTTAGGGGGCAAGTGATGATCTACATGAGGCAATTGGAGAGCAAGTCAGAAAGAATATTTGCTTTGGACGAACATATTAGAGAGGGATTATTTAGTTCAGACGTTACTCCACAAGAAATCGAAGAGGAAATGGATGAAGTAGAACATTACAAAGAAGAGATGATAAACTATACTGCCAGATGCGAGTTTATCCTTAAAGAAGAATCGGAAGGCAGCTGCAAGAATGAAAGTTTGAAAGTAGAAAGGAGAAGATTTAAATTACCCATGTTAGAGTTGAAGAAATTTAACGGGGATGTAAGAAACTGGATAGGTTTTTGGGCACAATATAGGAAGATACATGAAGACGATCATATAGATGATGAAGATAAGTTTCAATATTTGATTCAAGCCATGGAACCAGGATCTATTGCAAGAAAAATTGTAGAAAGTTTTCCACCATCAAAAGCTAATTATGAAAAGGCACTAAACAAGTTAAAAAATCGTTGCGCTAGGGATGAGTTTTTGATCGAGGTCTATGTAAGAGAATTATTAAGTCTCGTACTTCAACAAGTTACTAAAGGTAGGTGTGCTATGAGTTTAGCTAATTTATATGATAAGCTTGAAACACAGTTAACTTCATTAGAATCATTAGGAGTCACCAGCGACAAATATGCAGCCATGCTTTACCCTTTAGTAGAGTCGTCTCTACCAGCAGATATTCTAAAAACTTGGGAGCGACAGCGAAGTACTTATCTTGGTGAAATTACGGAAAATAATTCTAATAATTCTAATTTTTTGACATTATTATTAGATTTTTTACGTCGAGAAGTAGAGGCCGAGCAAAGAATTACATTGGCTCAGAAGAGTTTTGCCTCCGTTGATGATGCAGCAGATGACACTAAAGTACCAGACGACATTCAAGTAACAACCGTAAGTCACAGCAACAGAGGTACATCCAAACAAGAAGAACAACAGTTGTTTACGGCAGCTACTCTTTACTCACAATCGTCAAAGGGAAATATCGCAGGTAAGAAGGTTCCAAAATGTATTTTTTGTGATCAAACTCACTTAAGTCAAGACTGTTTCAAGGCCCAGAAAATGTCTATGGATGATAGGAAAAACAAAGTAATAAAGAAAAGAGGATGTTTTTCATGTCTGAAACAAAATCATACTTCACGAAATTGTAAGAATTTTGTCAGATGTATAATATGCACTAAAAAACATTACCCTATATTATGTCCCGAATTAGCTAAGCAAAAAGAGGGAAAATCTATAACAGGAAATAGTGAGCATCAAGTAGACAATTCTTTAATGATCAATTACACGTCCGAAACTTTACTTCAAACAATTTTGGTTAAAATAATAAATAAAGAAAACAACAAAGTTAAAATTATTCGAGCTCTATTAGATTCCGGTTCGCAAAGATCGTACATATTAGCTAAATATGCGAATGAATTAAATTTTGTTAGGAAGAGTACAGAGAATATTATACAAGGAGTTTTTGGAGGTCAAATAAATCATGTACTACATTACAATTATGATATCATAGCTCAAAACTTAAACGAACAATATGAAATAAATATGCAAGTTTTAGATCAGGAAAAAATTTAATTATATTCCTAGACTTTACAATTTAAATATTATCAGTGAACTACAACAGAAGAATATAATTTTAAGTGATACTTCCTTTTCGAGTGCACCATTAGAGATAGGTTTATTAATAGGTGCAGATTTTTTTGGAATGTTATTCACAGGAAACTTGCAGACGTTGTCAAATGGGTTAATAGCTCTTGAAACTAGATTAGGATGGACAATAATTGGAAAATGTCCTAATGTTAAGCCAAATGTTTTGTTGTTTTCAGGATTATCAAATTGCTCTATATCAAGCCTATGGAATTTAGATGTTCTAGGAATACGTGATCCATTGGAAGTAAAATCTAAGGAAAAAACAGAAGAAGAAACACTTAAGTTCTTTCATGAAAATATCATGGTTAATGAAGATGGACGATACGAAGTTAGATTACCATGGAATGAAGAATATCAATCTTTGTGCAGTAATAAAACTCTATCAGAGCAAAGATTAATGTCTACCAGCAAAAGGTTAACAACTATTGGAAAGTTAAATGACTATGAAAATGTCCTATTGGAGTGGCATATGCTGGGTATTGTAGAAGAAATAGAGGAAGAAAATCCTCACAGTGGTCCAGTACACTATTTGCCACATCATGCAGTCATAAAGGAAGCAAGTAAAACAACCAAAATTAGGCCAGTATTTGATGCATCAGCCAGGGATGGACTAGGTAATTCGTTAAATAGTTGTTTACAAACAGGGATGAATTTGATTGAATTAATTCCATCTTTATTAATAAAATTCAGATTAGGGATTATAGGAGTCACTGCAGATATTGAAAAAGCGTTTTTGCAGATAAGTATTTCTCCTAAAGACAGAAATTTTTTAAGATTTTATTGGTGGAGCAATTATCAGGAAAAGATAAAGAAAATTTTTAGACACTGCAGAGTAGTTTTCGGAATTAAATGTAGTCCATTTTTATTAGCAGCTACCATAAACTATCATATATCACATTCTCAACTACATTTGAAGGATACAGCAGAAAAATTAGCTAATTCCTTTTATGTTGATAATCTTATTACTAGTGTAAACAATATAGAAGAATTAGAAAAATTAATTAAAGAATCTAAAGAGCTAATGACATTAGCTCAGTTTAATCTTAGGAAATGGTATTATACAACAGATAATGTTGTTTCTTCTGTGGAATTTAGCAGCGTTTTAGGCATGTTATGGGATATCCCAAATGATTTACTATTTTGTGATTTAAAAACCCTTATTGAATTAAAAGATACTCCAAAAACTAAACGCGGTCTTTTATCTGTAGCCCATAGAGTATTTGATCCTATCGGATATACCTGCCCAGTAACTCTTATACCAAAAATGTTATTACAGGAAACTTGGGAATTTAAAGTTGGGTGGGATAAAGAATTGCCAGAAAATATTGCTAAAAGATTTGAAAAATGGCTAAAAGAAATTAATTTGCTAAGTTTTTGTAAAATTCCAAGATCAATTAGCAAGAAGCAAGCTTTTGACATAAAAGAATCATCAATTCACGTTTTTTCTGATAGCAGTAAATTAGCTTATGGAACTTGCATATTTTTAAGAATGAAAATCAATAATAATGTTTTAGTACAACTTATTCAGGCTAAATCAAGAACTGCACCAAAAAATGTAACAATACCAAAATTA